ATTGCCAAAGACGCGCTGCTTGGACCGGCTACATAAACCTGAATGCTGCATGCTTGATGAATTCAATCATATGATGTTATAAGGCAGAAAGGTCAAAGAACATATTTAGTTGAATGATCTGCTTTATAAAAGCCGCGTTCGGTGCCATAGCCAAGCAAAACTGCTTCTTACATACCGATCCTCAGCTAAAGTGGCTCCGAGCATAGCCTCCTCTATAACTTTGTGCCCGAGCGGTCGGTCCCTCAGCGCCGTCCCCCGAGCTATTATGGGATGCGAGCGCTCCTGGCGGAGCGCCGAGGCGCAAAACGAGAGAATGGATGGCAGCTATGGAGAAAAAACCGGCTTTGAGTAACTACCGAAAGGGCAAAAATGAAATAAGGAGGGAGGCATTTTACGATAATTCAAGGGGAAGCGCTTTACTGTTTGAAGCGAGATCGGGTTGCCTTAGAACGCGTAGTTATAAAGCAAGATTCAGTAAAGAAGAAGAACAATGCACATGCTGCGGGAAAGATAAGGAAACGGCGGAGCATGTTCTGATTGAATGTGGAGATATCCACCCAGGTGTACGTTTGGGCACGAGCCTACAGGAAGCCTTGGGTTTTAGGGACAACAATGGAAAGCTGAACACACCCGCGATTGAAATAAGTAAGAGACGGTTAGAGTATTGGTGGCAGAAAATTAGAGAGAAAGGACAAAAATAAATATTGGAAAAATAAAATATGGACAGTGTGCCGTAAATGGCAGAGAACTTAAGCTGAAAATTTACCTTTTTTTCCATTAAGATAGAATTTATCGAAGTAGAGGCATTAGGCCAACATAAAAAAAGAAAAAAGGTTTTTTTTTTTTGTCGAGCCTGGTGGCATACTTGTCACCACCCCGTTATAAAGGGGACGCTCATAGCATCCATCCATCCATTCCATCCAGCTCGCGCCTCGCTTGCTGCAGCAACAGGCGCACACCGCTACGCCGCGGTTTTCCCGTCGCGCGCAAATTTGGTTTGGCGTGCTCGATGTAAAACTGTGCTTGGCCCATTGTGTTTTCTGCTTGCCCTTGATGTTTTTTCTGGCACAATAGTCTCCCCCAAGAGCTTCGTTAACTGCAGCGCTCGCTGAGACAACCGTGACTGTATCAAGTGCGATTCGGGTAAGTTCTTTGTTAAAAGTGTTACATCGTTAAGACATTCGCTTGCTGCAAGGAATCGTGCCTAAACGCTGTATTTTTGTTATCTGCAGCACTACCGTAAAAAGAAAGGCGACTGCCCATGCATGGTCAGAAGTTTGGCTGCGCCCCGAACGCTCCACAATGCCGTACTGCTGCGTACCACGCTGCAAATCATGGAGCGGCCGGAAAGAAACCGGAGTATCTTTTCACGAAATTCCGAGCGACCAAGAACTTCGCGAAAAGTGGCTTAAGGTAATCTCGAGAGACAACTGGACCCCGAACAGCACATCTTGCTATTCTACCGTTTGCAGCCGACACTTCGTCCCGTCCGACTTTAAAGAAGGGTGCACGACGCGAAGACTGAAGAAAGGCTCTGTGCCCAGCGTCTTCCACGAGTACCCGTCGTATTTGCAACCTTGCAAACAAACCGAAAGAAGCGATGCGGCCCTCAGGAAGCGTGCTGCGGCTGTATTAACTGACGAGCCAGCAAGAAAAAAAAGAGCAGTTGGTGGTGGTGCACCACATGTGTTTACGGACTTACGACATGACCAGTCGTGCGCGTCGGACTCCCAACTTGTTGAAGAAGTGCCCAACTCCAGCAGCAGGACTGACCAAGGCTTCGTACCGAGAACGGCGCAGGTGGATAGAGCAGTGCAAGTAGCCTCACGCATTTCGTTGCCAACCATCGAAAGACGGAAGTGGAAGCGTAAGGAACGCGAACTGAGGGCGCAGGTTGAAAGGCTCAAAGGAACTGTTGAAAAATATAAAAGGGAGCTTCAGAAACTTAAAGAAGACTGCTATGTCCCAGCGTTTTTGCAGGTTGTCGAGCAGGCAAGTGAAAATGAGTTGGCTGCCTCAATACTGCTGGAGCAGGTCAAAAATTTTCAGAAGGTGAAACCGACGTGGTCCGAAGTTACAGTCTGCCACGCAGTGATCCTTCGTAACCTCTCAGCGAGGGCATACGAACACTTAAGGAGCTCAGGGCTACTCCGCCTACCCTGTCGAAGCACGCTGGAGCGCTTCCTCGGTTCGTCACGCAATGAAGTAGGCGTCACAGACTTGATTAAGCAGAGGCTGTCAGCTGAGCTCGCTTCACACACGAGTGCTCAGTCACAGACGTGCTCGCTCATTGTGGACGAAATGAGGGTCAAGCAGCGCTTACTCTATCTCAAGCAGAGAGATGCCTTCATTGGCGAAGTAGACTACGGTGACTGCTTGCCGCAGAAGCAACCGAGCAAGCCAGAAGAGCCAGATCTTGCAAACTCGCTGCTTTGCTTCATTTTAAGTGGCTTGTCAACGAGATATAAGATTCCCGTAGCCTATTTTTTTACTAGAAATTGCACCGGTGAAAACCTTCACCAGATCAGATAAGAATTTTCTGACCAAGGAAACGTACGAGGGCTTGCTGATAACAACCATCTCAAACGTGGAGTGCGTTCGGTACCTTCTCACGGCCACACGCTTCCGTTTCGTTCTGACTAGGAAGATGTCCTCTGACCCAATAGAGGCCTTCTTTGGGTGGTTGAGGAAATCTGCAGGCTCGAACGACCAGACAGACGTGAGGGCAGTTTTGTCTGGGATTGAGAAAGCACTGAAGACTGGCATAGCCTGCACGTCAAGCAGCAGCAACGTGATTACTGCAGACAGCAGCAGCTGCTCCACATCAGCACTCCTACAGCGATCGGCAAGAGCAGCGCAGAATGACGGTGAAGCATTTCCAGCAGAATCAACCACGATCCTCGAGGAGAGCCTCGACAGGGGGAAGACGTCGCTCCCAACGCCAGATGTTGCTGCACTAGCAATGGTTGGTGGCTATATTGCAAGAACAGTCCACGAAACCATTTCCTGTGATGAATGCTTCACTTTGGTGACTAAACCAAACACCTCTGCGCCATCGGATGCATTAATTAGGCACCAGGACAGAGGTGGACTCCTGTATCCGTCAACTGAGCTCGTAATGGTTCTAAATTCTCTAAAGAATTACGCGGAAGTTTTCCTCGCAAGAGCGAGAAAGATGAATCAGCCACTGAAGGCTGCCGTTGACAACGCCGCGCAAATACTACAGAAACGTGACAAACTCAAGTGCTCGACCCCGGGACATCATAAAAAACTTTTGGAGGTTGTGCTCGTGAAGTTTCTCCGCCCACTTTTTCTGAACTTCGCGACGAGTGTGACTGACAAACACGACTTGGCAAAAGATTTTCATGTCAAACCATTGTCTCGAAAAGTGCTCAAGCTTTGAGCGCGAAATCAAATAACAAAGCTCACATTGCATTCTGCATACAGTGCTTGTGTTAAAAATTTGGTGTGTGCGCACTTCTTAACGTATACGCATAATCCAATGCAATGTAGACGGTTTCTAGACCGTCATAAACGCAAGCGTGCATAGGCCGCGTCGTCTGCTGTTATTATGGGATCGGTGCGGCATCTGGCGGCGAGCGCCAAAACTATAAGGGACGGATGGCGCGTATGTATTTAGCGCTAATGCGCGGGCACAAAAAAATATAGGAGGCTATGCTCCGAGCTGTGTCTGCTTTTCTGCGCCGAGAGGGCATTAGTTGCTAGCGCCATCTGTTGAGGGAGCTGAGAAGCAGAGCGTTGTCGCGAAGCGAAGAGCGGAGGCGTTCTCTCACCTAAACTATTCTTCAGGCACTGCGCCGTGCTCCCGACCAAGGAGGATATAAAAACTTCCTTGCTCCTTGCTCCCGACCGGGTTGCAGAAATTAGGTGCCTTTTCTCATATTCTAACCACTACCACCACCACTATTCTTACACCGTGGCTATGAGGCGCAAGGCAGGTGTGGAGGCGCTAGCGTCGGACTCTGCTGTATACCCGTGCTGCTGTATTTTCCACGCTGATGTCGCTGAGTGATAGCATGACCTACTACACTCCTGACCTGCCCAGAGAGCACCTCTTCCAGCGCCCACGTTCTAGTTCATACCTTCTGCCGCTAGGGCCGTCACCTACGAGCGGCGTGGTGCTAGTCAGCACCTGTTCGCTGACGTCATCTTCACTCTTTGTGGTGAAATTTTGACCAACAAAGCACTCGTAGTGCGTATTTATGATCCACAATTTAGAATTATTCAGAAATAATAATACTAAAAGACATTCAGAATTTTTTTTGCAATAAAATGCACGCGACAACGCATAGGCTCTCCTACATCATGTAAATCTACGGGTTCCCACGTTTGTCAACCAGTGTGCTATAAGTACTTAGGCGCACTGAACAGCTTGCTTAACCAGCAATGTATGTGAAGAAATAGTCACATATATGCCGGCAGTTCACCACAGAATGCAGGAATTCTTATTCCAGCGCCTACAAAACAACCGTAAAGAAGCAGACGAACAGGTTATAGGTAGCGCCACCTACGGCGAGCGATTGAACGAGAGCGGGGACACGCGCTCCCATAGGAACCCCGCTATCTGAACAGGTCAGGAGTGTAGTAGGTCATGAGTGATAGCACCGACATTGCTGGCGCACCGACTTGCCGTTCTTTCTCTGAGCATTGCTGGTGTTCTTGTGTCGCGAGCAGCGCTGTTAGCGTGGCTAGCGCTGTGTCGCGTTGCTGTCTGCCATGGCACTCGGCAAGGAGTGAAAAAAATATCTTCAGGTGTTGAAGCAGTATACGACAGAGTTCGGTTGTGTTATCGCCTCGCGGAAAGGTGAGCACCATGCGTTCTGCACCATCTGTAAGTGCGACATCAGTATATCCCACGGCGGCAGGACTGACGTGGACGCACGTTTCGTCGAAGAAGCACACCAACAACGTTCAGTGCCAGGAGAAACAGCATCTAATGCAACAATTTTTTCGGTAAGCAAGACTGTGACAATGTGATACAAGCGGAATGTTTGTTTACCGCTTTTCTGCTTGAGCACAGCATTCCGTTGAGTGTCTCCGACCACGTGGGACCCTTGCTGCGGAAGATGTTTCCAAAATGCGATGTTGCGAAGCACTACCGCTGTGCTAGCGAACTAAGACTACAATGATTGTCGGCGAAATGGCAGGCCATGCACAAGAGTGTGTGGTGAGTGCCTTGAAAAGACGAGTTTTTGCGGTTGCCACTGACGGCTCGAACGAAAGCAAGGCACAGCTGTACCCCATCGTGGCCACCTTCTTTGCGGAAGAATCGGGCCTTATAGAGAGCAAACTGCTTACTATAAGCACCCTGGAAGGCCCTTCAACGGTGCGTGTCATCGCCAAGTTAATTATGGACTGTTTTGCATCGTTGAATGTGCCATTGTCTAATTGCATAGCTTTTTGCTGTGACAATGCCAACGTGATGATGGGCAATAAGAATGGCGTAGCGGCAGCGCTAACCGAGGCCCATGAAAGCATTGTGAAAATTGGATGCCCATGCCATTCAATAAACATTGCGGCTGAAAAGGCAGCTTCTTGTCTCCCAGCGAAGGTGGACAAAGTCCTTGTAGACATTTTTTATTATTTAGAAAGAAATGCTAAAAGAAAAAGTTTGCTTAAAGAGTTTCACGAACTGCACGATAAGGGGTTTGACAAGATTCTAAAGCACATTCCAACCAGATGGTTTTCGCTGGGAAAATGCCTGGAAAGGCTCCTATATCAGTGGGCACCGCTCTTGAGTTTTTTGCTTCAAGAAGGGAAAAAAAATGCCACTACAGTGTCCCAATTTCTGACCTACTACGACATTCCCAAAATGCCAGCACAAACTGAAGACACTGAGCAGCACCAGTTCAGACAGAAGAAAAGAAGTCTGTTGAATCAACACCTGTGCCTGTGAAAAAAGTTAAGGCTACTGATGTGTGCAAGACTGGATCAACTTGCATAACACGTGAGGAACGACTGTTAATGTTCTTGAGCTCGGAGCTTAGCAAAGCTTGCTGTCTGTTTTTAAATAACATTATTCCTGCTTTCTAGAGAGTCAACTGCAGCCTGAGAAGACAGAGCTAGCGCTCTGTCTTCTCAGTCTATTCTTTTCTGTGTTTGTTTTTTCGCCTCGCGCTACACAAATTTCTTTCAAATGTTTCACCAACAAGCCCACATCGCCACTCTTGTCGACTGCAAGCACAGGCACCCCTAATACACAAGCTACAGCCTATACTTTTAAACCTTGAGGACATCCTTTCAAGGTTTCTGAGGCCAGCACTGCAAGTGGACTAGCATGGCGCTAAGGTTGGACTCCACGTGCAGTTTCTATGTGCAGTTTCTACGTGCAAAAAAAAAAAACATTCTTTTGGCAAAGTGTTGGAGTGTCAGTGGTGAACATTGTTATGCCCAACAGTGCTCGAAGGACTTCTCGAAAAAGGTGGCTTCAGCCACGCCGAAGATTTGGTGGTGGTGACCACAGCGGGGTAGGTTGTTGGCGGTTTACAAAAACTATACCATAACTCCATAAAAATTCAATCTTAAGAAAAAGCGTGTGAAAAATGCTATCTCCCGTAACCCCCCCCCCCCCCCCCCCCCCCGGTTGCATCTCCCTATGCCTGCACTGCCAACCTGGCAGGTATGTAAATAAAAACTCAATTTTAACTTTATAACTCGTTTTTCCCAGAACAGAAATTTTGCCATTCTTTCCATTGTGACCCTCCTTTTTCGGACACTTCTAGTGCTTAGATCTGCATGAAATTTCGCCCAAATTTTATCCAAAGTATGACAAATGCAATTATCTAGTTTAACTTTCAATATTTTATTGTATAATAAAAAATTGTACACCTTTACTAGGTAGGTGAAATATAGACTTTTTATGTATTGTACACCTTTACTAGGTAGGTGAAATATAGACTTTTTATGTATATTTTTCACTCATGTTACATATTTTGTATGTGCTTCCTAACGAGTTATTTGCACTCTACACTTTATTTGAAGCATTATGAACTATGAATGGTAAAAAATTACAGAAGTTTAAGGATGAAAAGGTGGGGGCAGGGGGCAAAAGGGTTAAGGTTTTCACATTGTCATGTTGCAGAGCTAAAATTGTGTAACTTGCAAGAAAACTAATTATACATTTGAAATCAGCATAAAAAGTTCTATAAACAGCTCAAGTTTCATTGCTCTAGGGTGAATATTTAAAAAAGGGTCTTCGAGTAGCATCTCCCCTTAAAAACAGTCTTAAGGCAGGAGGACACGTCGACAGGCGAGAAGGGAATGTTGGCACAAGTATTTATCGAGCATCAATTTATACACGCAGGAGGCAAAAGTCTGAACATGGTTAGTAGGGTAGCAGGAAGACCATGCACATTCACTCCTTGGTAAACACACAGGGGGACAGCTTGGAAGATCAGGTGAACTTCCTCGGTGCACTGAGGCTTTCCGAAGATACAAAATACAAAAGCAGAAAATAGAACACAGATGTATAGAATACGAGGCATACAGCCAACCTCTCAGCTTAGCTGAGCTACTAACAACACTAAACTGCTGCAGTAATTCTCCCCAAGATTCCAAATGTTGAAAAACCTACCCCTTGAAACGCAAATGACGTTACTTTTCTTGTACAATGCTGTCCGGTTGTCTGGCACATATCCTTACTTGGAAAGAGGTTACTGTTACTTCCATTTTGAAACAGGGCAAGAACCCTTCCTCTTTTACGAGTTATAGGATCATCATGGCACTTGCTAACTGCCTCTGTAAACTTTTCGAAAAAATGATAAACTGCTGACTTGTACCTATTCTTCAAACAAACAATCTGTTCAACCAATTTCAGTGCGGATTTCGCGAGGGTACATCCATCACCGATGACCTGATATGTAGAAAAGCACAAATCTGAGAAATTTTCTTCCACAAACAGTACTTTCTGTCTACCTTGATATTGAAAAGGCTTAAAGCACAACATGGTGCTTTGGAACATTATGAGACCTGTCTCCCCGTGATGTGTGTGGCAAAATGTTCATTATTATGAAAAGTTACTTGTCCAGTCGGACATTTTATGTCCGAGTGGGCAGCATTCTTTTCCAAACATTTGTCCAAGCGGGAGTGCCGCAAGGTGGTACACTTTTTATTATAAAAATGAATTCCTTGCGCTTGTCTATCCTCAGCAATACACTTTACTGCACGTATGGTGATAATGTACAGATTGGCTTTGTCGTGTAACCTGGTAATGTGCAAGTGGCAGATTCGGCTGGGTTTAAACAAGGTCTCAGAATTAGCAGAGGAAAACTGGTTCCAACTGGATCCACAAAAAAGCATGTGTGCTTTATTCTCCGAAAAAAAAAAACGAAAAAAAAATTCATTCCAAACCTGAAATTCAAGGGCATGGTCAATGTCTCGTAATGCCAAAAACAAATTAATAAGCCTAATCTTGACACCAAGCAAACCCTCGTACCACACATCAAGTGCAGTCGACTCTTGTTAATTCAAACTCTGTGCGCACCTCTGAATTTTGTTTAGTTATCGAAACTTCTCAGATGTACAACTTCAGGTGAGGTGACACCACGCATTATAATTAGGCGCAAGACTTGAACCCTAACTGCATGCAATGAACAAAAAGCGGAGATGTAAGGTCCACAAGTTTATTGGCCATTTACTGCTGATTTGACCTTTTTCAGAAATCGTGAATTGCCAACTGCTTTTTCATGATTTATCATGCGTGTGCTTCATTTCAAACATTTGTTTACTAGCAAAGCCCGTTTCCTTGAAGGCCTGAGGTGCTTATTTTTCGTTTTTACAGTTATGATTTGCATGCATAAGCATGTAAATTTTGAAATAGTAGTGGCAAAGTAGCAAATTTTTTCTAGTATAGAACCTCAAAAAGGATTAATTAACCGAATGGTGGGTTTAAAGAATGGAGGGCTAACCAAAAAATTGAACTTTGTTTTAATTAACTGAAAGTATGAATTATAAGAGCTTGAATTATCGAGAGTCTACTGTATTTAAGAAAGAGGTGCATAAAAGCTGTGAATGTTCTGTAAGTGTTGTCACGCGCTATATGGCGTAGTGACAAGAAGTGTCTGATGAACTTGTATCGCAGCCTAAAACGCACTCGCCTATACTAAGAGACAATAACCTATCAGTCTGCGACACCTACTGCCGTAAAGATTCTCGACTCTTTGCGTCATTTAGGCATTCACCTCTCTATGGGTGCTTCTCGCACCAGCACTGTTGAAATCCTGTTTGTGGAATTCGAGTGGTCGCTCCCCTGCAGAGATATTACATGTCCTTTCTATAAAAGTGAATGCAGACAAGAAACGCCCTTCACATTTTACAATTTATGACATGTCCAGTTTTCCTCGGTTTGAAAACTGGCCTTCGTTGAGACAACCTTAGTTACTTCGTTTGAGGCGCCGAGAAGAGAAAGCCGGTGTGCCACTTGAACACCGTTTAATGGCTCCTGCAGTGTGTCTGCCACCATGGAAGTGGCAGATGATAGATTGCCACGTGTCCTTTGTACATATATCTGCACATACTTTCGGGGACTGTACCGAATATCTATCGCCAGGACGGTGACCAGTATAATGCAACTTCAAATAAGAAAAATTATGTGCTACTTACTGCTAAGCAATCTACGTGGTCGCTGGCAACGCCGGCATACGCTTCCAGCTTTGGTTGCTAACAAGCCGTAGCCGTGTTTTCAGGCTGGGAAATTTACATTACCGGCGAAGCGTTGGTGGCTATAGCGCTGCGGTCAGCGACCGATGGGCGGTCAGCGTTACTTTATCTGGTCGATCGCGTCTCACGAGTGTAGGGCGGGTGTCTAGAATATTTTAAGTGTATTCTAGGCATATAGTTAGGGTCTAGGCGTTCTGACTGATGGCACAAACTGTACGTAGCTTGCATTTTTCGCTGAAATTAGTGCACCTGACAAAACTAAGACTGGCTGAGCATTTTGGCACAGCTGTCGCACCCCTTCTCTTACCATTAATTTTTAATTAGTCATTAAAATTTCTTTTGATCACCTTTTCAGTAATTTGGCTGTACAGATCCTGCTGAATCAAGTTATTCTACAGCTAGCAAAGAGGGCAAAATGAAAGTTTTATGGCGCTAGCTTTCCTACAACAAATTTTTTTTTATTTTATTAATAAAAATTTGCGTTGTCATATAGTTGCATATGGCACTTTCTTGCACTCGCTAAACAATCTGAGCTGTGGGTGCTGCACTTTCGATGTAGGCAAAAATGCTGTACGCCCATGTGCTTAGATTTGGGTGCACGTCAAAGAACTCCAGGTGGGCGAAACTTAGAGAGCCCTCCACTACGGCGTCTCTCATCATATTGTAGCGACTACTAAAGCACAGAGGCTTATGAAAACAAATTTATTAGGGCGAACTTGTGCCCTCGAGTTGACTGTGAGAAAACTGCGAGTCTGCCGAACACCAAGAAAATCTCGGAACACCTCTTCTTTTCCTTCACCAGAACCTGTGGGGTCTCGGCGAGGCGAACGAGCGCCTCGCCACGCCACGCTCTTGGAGTGAATGGACACAGCAGACGCGGTCGGTACAAAGCACACAACATACATACATTTATTAACTAATTTAGACGACGATATCATCCGCCGAATGTTACATCAATTTTAATTAACACGCTACCATACAAACAACATAATGCAGTGACACACTAAACACACAATAACATGATAAACACACACTAACACATACCCAAGGCGGCGTCGCCAATGCCTGACTTTCCACGTGGGACCCCGGCGCAAAGCCCGCGGTGCCGAGCACCGGGGACCTACGCTACAGACAACCGTTCCCGGCAGCCGCCACGCGCAGAAGAGGCTCGCTCAACTCTCCCCCACCACCAAGGCCTGCCTTCTGCCGGGGGCCACCGCCGGCGCTACCACTCAACCAACAGTGATACTCAAAGCGAACACAACGCCATCTATCGCCTGGCGGCGGTCACCACCGAAACAAAGCCTTGGGGCGAGACACATGCGCTACGCGGCGCAGACAACTTTACAGGGGGGGGGGGGGGGGGGGTGTCAGCACCCCCACAAACCCCGAGTGCGTGACGCATGCGAGCTTGGTCTGGCCAAGTGCTCGTGCTGCCATGGTCTCTGTGCGGCACGGTGAAGGGCGGTCTATTTCAATGTGATCAATATATTGCAGCAATATGGTGGTTTTGGGACTTTAAACAATACACATCTATCAGTACACTCACTAAACATTCAGCTTTTGAACAAGGCAAAAATTAATAAAATTTAGCATACCAAAGCTGAGAAGCGCTCGACGGAGAATGACAGGTGGCCAAAAAACAAACTGAGAAAATGACTAAAAAAAAACTGTATTTAAGAAACTGTACTCAAATGAAAATGCTTCACTTTGCATATAAGTGCCTCGGAAAACACCAGGGGAGTAGTCTGGATATGCAACTGGCCCCACTGTACGTCCAGGATTTAGCAGTCCTTTCAAGCAGCTTGTTAATTAATCATAGAGTAGTCGTGGATCCAGCCTCCTACGGGTCTTAGTCCTTGCATACTGTCATGAGCTTTCGCAGTTTGCGCTAGCTCGCCATAAGATGCAGAGCTTATCGTCACTCACTTCCTGCTGTTGCACATGATTGGCGTTCATCAAAAAAGTTGTGTCTATCCCTGTGCCGTGCTGCCTATCGCCGACGTCGTCCGAGGCGGCCGGAGAAACGGGCAGCGGAGATGTCGGCATTTCAACCGACAGATCGTGCTCCGTCACCGAACCTGCTTCCCCCCTCAAGTGCAACTTGGTCATTGGCCACCAGTATCAAAATCGTGACGCACAGAAGTAAGACTTGCGAGGCTAACAACAGGACAAGTTGACACTACACATTCATACCTTTTGTCTGGTGGCAATCTACCATTGTGCGAGAGATATAGTGAAGCACTAACAGTGCTTCACATTTCAATCTAATACAAGGTATTGGACACGCCCAGAAGAAAACACTTTTTATTACCCTACTGACAGCAGATACCAATTCAGCCAGCAATGTTCGTTGGTAGGGAATCAGTTTTAATGTCATATACTCAGGCATTGTGTAGCAAAACCTCTGCTGTGGTGGCTATATAAACAAAGCCCTTGGACGCAAGGGCATTCATGAGGCACTAATGCCATATATCTCAACCATGGTTTTATCATCACGACTTTTTGCCATGCATTATCATAATCATTGTTCCTCTTGTTTCCTCCCAGCCTTTCCTCTCTATTTCTCTCTCTCTCTTGTCTCATGACCTGGCACTTTTCGGCCATCAAATGGCCCTTGCACCACAAAACACCAAACATCAACATTTGGGGGTCATCACAATGCAGGAATAGCTCAAATTATAATTGTGTGTCATAACATTGGGACTATGGGGTTGTCAAGCTCACACGCTGGGCAATATGTGGAAGTAGTGTGCTGCACAATTCGAAATGTGGAAGAGACAGGTCAACTGGGTGGTTGTATGTACATATTCGCTACTAATAAATTCTCCATGAGACATTGTTATGTTCATAAGATGTGTGTGATGTGTGCTCTATTATTTTGGTAAAATTTGGTCAATTATGGGCATAACTCAGCTGATAGCTCTTGTATAGCAAGTTTTGGAAGCCCGCATGTTCTGGCTTTCTGTGATTTTTGTTTTGTTCCAACTGGCTGCAAAGGCTGTTAATCTTTTTTTTTTGTTTCAGGTTTTGAAGGCTGGAAGCAATATGCAGCAAAGATTTCCCGAGGCCTGCAGGCAACATTGTTTCAACCGACTTAAAAGTTGAAGCACAAGTGAATAATTTATATTTTATATGTCTATTTCACCCATTCTTTGGCTTCCAGTCACTAAGAGCACATTTACATTTCAATGTGTCAATTCAGTGGAGGCATAACATATCATTTTCGCAGTCTTTGTAACAGTTCACAACTGTAAATGTTGCTGTTCGAACATTTCTACAATTGTTGGTAATGAATACATTTAATTAACTGAGCTGTGCCCTTGAAGACGTATGCAAGCAAAACAAAAAGGGAGTGCAACTCATATCAGCAGCCAAAACAATAGTGCTTCTATGGCAGCATAATGCCTAGAATCTGAGGTTGGTGTAGTCTACACTCCTTCGCGAAAGTCGGGCTTTTTTATTTTTCCTATAAAACACCTAGATTGCAGTACATCAAATGTTTTAATAACTTGTGTGCTGCAGGTTTGCTCATTACGAACACCACCGAATAGCTGAAGCAATTAAAGTGCTATATTTGGTTGGGTTAAGGTGATGAGATGCTGTACCGGTGATGTTTTCTGCTGAAGAATTGGTACCAAGGGTTGGGAAATGCTGTCAGGGAAAGCAGAGAGTTAAATGGAGTGAGGAAATTAAGAATTTTGCAGGGATAAAATAGAATCAGCTTACACAGGATAGGGTAAACTGAAGATCCTTGGAAAATGCCTTTGTCTAAGCACTGGACTAAAACAGGCTTAGAATGATAACTGAAACAAACTAGAGAAATTGCAGCCAACATGTCAGTGGTAACACTTGAGTGGCGAAACATACAACTGTCGCGAATATATCATATACAAAAGAGATTATAGAAATGTGTATACTGTGTGCATGTTTAGCCTTGCGCCTAACACACAAATTGCTGCATAAAAAGCTTTTTGAATGCCTCGTTTTTTTTGTCTCCCCCCCCCCCCTCCCCTAAAGGCTGCCATTCACCAAGCAAAGACAAACTAATGACTGCCGCAAAGCAGTATTCAAGCTGTAAGACCAAAGGAGATGGCTACTTCGGCATACTGTGGCCACCTACAACAACCACTTCGAGATACTTTTTTGTTGTGGCTGGAGCCAACACAGCAAGAGGCACTTACAAAGATTAGTGCTATCACGAACACACAAACAGTACAAAAAATGGCATCAAAAAGAACAATTCAGCTTCAGCGAACGTTCTTTAAAAAAAAAAACGAAGGCAAGCCAAGGATGGCAAAGCCTTTGTTAGGTGAGCAGAAGGCAATGCACGATCTCCTCAAAAATGAAAAGGCATCAGAGGGGCCTGCCAGCATTGCTAAGGAAAAAGAGCACAACTACAGTAAACCCAGCAGTGAAGTCATGCACACAATGCTAACTCTTTGAACAGATGCCACACGCAACTTGATGCCCCAGCAACGTAGCACCAAAAAAAAAAGCACTATGTAATTCAGTGTAGTCACATTTCTACTTTAGCTGAGAGACTTCAAATGACACTCTGTTACTATTTTGCACAAAACTATCGTAAACTGCGAAGGTGAAGGTGGTCAGACAGGAACACTGAAAAACGAAGATGACATTAGTGTCCCTATGACTTGATGGCTCGTAATGAAATACCAAAGAGTGAAGCAAAGCTGGGGACTAAAACGAAATTGACTTATGTAACGACACCAAGAACAGAAAACGTCCGGGCAGCACAAAGGTTCGCTGGCGGCTGATGTCCTCAAGATTCCGCTGGGCTCTCCTCCTTAAAGCACACAGAAACCACTGACACTGATTATGGCCCACTTCGAAGGGGAAAATAGAAGCTGTTGAGACATGCGCGCTTTTAATGGCTCGAAATTTCTCAAGAAGGTTGTCCGCAACAACGTTCATGCACTACTACTTCGTGTCCTAAACACCGTTATTTTTCACCTGCGAACTTGTGTCTATGTTTCAAGGAATTCTTAGCGTATTAAGTCACTTAGAAATAAAAAAAAAAACATTTTCAGAGCAAACGTTTGACCTGTGTTCTTGTCATTCAACTCTTTCAAAGAAAAAAAGCTGTAAAAGATGCAGCTATACGATGTGCTCTGCTATCTCTAGCAAATGTTAAAAAAAGATGCCGGGGCACTTTGTTCTGACGTGAGCCAAAACATGACACAATTTCGCAGGTGCACGAGCACACAGCAAGGTTGAACTCCACTCCGCTGCCAGATCTTTTCGGCAATATTGAATACTCGCCCTGACTGAAACATTCGAGTCTAAGCCATTAAATGATAGTACGCGCATTATCCTTAACGTGTCATGTTTGAATCCGTGAGCACTGATCACATTTGTCTAAAACAGCGGAGCGCGTGGCTGTGGACGCAGTTGGTGTTCGCAGCTGCTACTTCACGCTAGCCACAAGCTTTCACTCATGCTAGAATTACGCCGTAAGTACCCAAAAACGACTATGACGGTGTTGGCACATTTCGTCAGAAAATGGCAGCTGAAGCGGCCGGCATAGTACGCGCATTATCCTTAACGTCTCATGTTTGAATCCGTGAGCACTGATCACACTTGTCTAAAGCAGCGGAGCGCGTGGCTGTGGACGCAGTTGGTGTTCGCAGCTGCTACTTCACGCTAGCTAAAAGCTTTCACTCATGCTAGATTTACGCCGTAAGGACCCAAAAACGACCATGACGGTGTTGGCACATTTCGTCAGAAAATGGCAGCTGAAGCGGCCGGCTGGGTGCTCTAAACAAGTGCGACTCTGTCTGTATACATATTTATGGTGCCAGCTGCGGTCGGCGACTCAAAGGCACGTAAGCAACTTCAGAGGTATGCAATGGCACATTCCATACACATGCGAGTAAAGGTGCACGCATACAGCTTTGACACTCAATTATTATAGTCCTCGTACCTTAAGTACTCAACACAGCTGAAAATGTTCAGGCCAGAGAAAGGAGTCTTACCCGAGATCGTTGTTCAGGACAGCCTCGACTTAGCGGATATCAACGCGCCGCTCCTGCGTATGGAAGAAATCACAACTTGAGCGCAATTGTCTGATGTACGCACAAAACTCTAGCAAAAACATAGAAATTAGCTCCACACGAAAAGTGTAATTCGAAAACACCGGCGCAGGACTCCGACAACGTGTAACCGCCATCTCAACTTCCAGAATTGAAACAAACATGGCGCCTGCCGAACGTTTTTATGCGCATGCGCCGCTCTAATCCGGTGGGCTATTTGAACGCAATTGACGTAAAAAAATACGCGAACATAACACTGCATTAAAGGTTACGTGGAACGTCTTAATGGGAACGGGTGCGAAGCCGAATCGGAGCACCATTTAGATTACTAAAGAGCCAGCCGCGCTTTTTCTTGTGTGCATTCCTACGATCACACGAAAGTAATGTATGCAGTGCACTATGAATGAGATCTAGCCGACATTGCAGTATTAACAGATCCAACATTCTCCTGCAATGGCCCTTCGGAGCTGCAGTATGTTAAAATAAATAACTAGTCATGCCAAGTATAGGAGATGGTATAAAAAGCAATTCTTATGTTAAGAAAGGGAAGCAGGGGCGGTGCCAGGATTATTTTACCGGAAGTGAGGGCACGAACAAGTTTTGGGGAGCTCCAGCTCCCCGCACGGCGCCGCCCCCGAAGGAAAGTCGTTAAAAAGATGACGTGCCATGGCCAGGGACCAAACCTGCGACCTTCGAATAACGCGTCCAATGAGCCAACTGACGCGACCAACTGAGCTATACCCTCTTCCGCTTCTTGGGCTATCTATATATGCGTCTTTTATGTGGGAGCATCAGTCAGCACTGCCAGTAGCCATGACGACGAGTGTGAAACACTTTTTTTCTGCCTATTTGGCATCACGTATGTGATCTTATGAGCTGGCAACTGGGCAGTAATCGCTTATATACTATCTGAAGGCACAAAGTCTCTGAGAAGGAGCCCTTCGCTATGAATGAAGGAAATAAGCGTACATTCAAGGGCTCATTTTCTTTGTTAGACATAATATTAGATGTAGCAATCATGCCAAGAAACGTATCAGGGGTGTTATTAACAGTAATTATATGCTGACGAGGTGAGCAACAGGAATGTAGAATTGAATGTCATCTTAACATCTTTTCTGCTGATCATGCTAAGGCAGTTATAAAATGTAATAAATAAGTCACAGAATCACTGTCATTTATTGCTCCCGTCATTAAAATGTGCCAATGATGCACACAGCATACAAACACGCACACATGAAAATGTTCACACAGCACCAAGGTTTGTTTAACATTGTAGCGTATGCCTAAAAAACTTATTATATCCGGTGAACTGTTATGGCTAGAAAATGCCATTGGAGGGCATACTACAGGCAGTTTTTTTGTAAAGTCTCAATAAGGGTAATGAAGCACAATACACGCAAGATTCATTTATTCCCGCTAAACATTTTCATATCGCCTTATTTATGAGGGGAATTTTCGATTTCGAGGCACTGAGTTGAGCACGTAGCAGTGTAGGTGGCTTGGTCACGTGACCACACAAAGCTTTGAAGCTGCAAGATGATAAACTAAGCTGAGAGTATTGCTTGAAAAATAGTAACTAATGACAGCAACATAGAATTATATCTTAGCAAAAATGGCAAAAATAAAGACCATGAACTATAATAACAAAATTTACCATTGTTTTTGCAATTTCAGTATGATCTTCATATTTAAATTGTGTTCAGAGGCTGCAAAAATCAGTAATTTGCACTGCCTAGAGGACAAGCCTCTGCAATGTGCAAAGGGGTTGTTAGGATTGCTGTGCATAAGAGTTTCAGTCTGTCCGCAAACTCCTTTGTGTTAGCATTAGACCAGATGTCGTAGTCTTAAATGTGAGAAGCCTAGATACTGGCAAGATCTGTCGGGGCAAGATGAATTAGGTACCCAGTACTGAATCAGGTACCCAGTATTCTTTTCAATCCTTTGCACTTTGCATATACAAAAATAGTGGGCAGGCTAAAACCTTCTCTAGTCTGAAACATTTGTGTAGGTGCACCATAATCTGTGCATAAAATTACAGCACGTATAGTATTACTACACGCCCCTACTTTATTCTGTGCTTCTAACGTTATAAATGAACTTAAATCTAAGCACTAGTGCTCTCTTCACAGCAATCACTGGAATTAAAAAGCTATCGAGCCACTGTTTCCACCTATGCAGCATACCTCAGCACACAAAGATAGGCTGTCACAATACAGGCTTCATAATCACATTAACTTCATATTGACAAGGCCTCCCTTGTTTGCTGGAGTAGAATTATCTGTTATGCTCGCCTAGCACTGTCAGCTGTATGTGTTGTATGAAAGACTTCATCGGCTCTGCACACACAAAATTTTGATAAACGTGCTACCATACAATATAAAGACATAATGAATGCAAGGCTTCTCATTGCATTGAAAAAAAAATATACCACAGATATTGGTGCTTGTTACTGCAATCAATGCATAAAAAAAGTAGAGATATGTTCATGACACACAAGAACAATGTAGCACACACGCCCACACTCTGATCAATGTGAAATCAAGGCAATAGTTTAATTAGCTAGAACACTAACATAAGGAAAATAGTATAGCTAGAGCTAAAATATGGACACAAGTATTTCATTTTCAACTTTTGCGTAACGAACCCATTACTCCCTAGCATTAACTGTGCCTGAATGTTGGGGAACCTTCCCATTTGTGTAGAACCTTTTGATAAGTTTAGGCACACAATATAAACAGCGAGAGTTCACTCTCGAACTAACACATAGTCAAGTGTGCATGTGTTCTATGCATGCACGTGTATCTATTGGGAATTTAGAGTGCAAAAAAACAAAACAAGAGATTCACAATAGCAAGAGACAAGGCGGAAGCTACTTTCATCTAAATTTATTTAATGATTTGCCTACAAATATATATAGAAACTGTTTAACAATGCATTTGAGTGTGTGTGCGTGCGTTTTCCTGAAGACGTTTATGGGCGAAGCCTCAAATATTATAAGATGACAGTTGCGCCCGTTCTGTATCCTGTTGTGAATGTTTTGGGCGAGTGCGCTTCTGTGTGCATGTTCGTGCGCGCATTCGCTTGTGTTTTTGGGTTTGGCTGCATTCGTATATGTGCGAGTCGGGAAGCTGCGAGTCATAAAACAGTTTTTCCCCCAAAAATATGTGTTTTTCATTTTTACTTACTTTCACAAGTTTGGGTTCTCCATACTTTGCAACAAAAACTGAATATTGCCAATAAAATAGGTTAAGACCACTTTTAAAGAGCACGAGGTGGCTACTAAAGAATTGGCCTCGCACCGGCATGTTCGACTGCAAATGTCATCGAAAGACTCTGTCTGGAGAGAGTGAATAGAATGAAATAATGTGAGCACTGACTATGATGTTTTGTTGAGAACATAGGTGAATGGAATTCTAAAGGCGCTGTGTGAGACATGATCGCCATCTGGCGGTAATCGCAGAAAACGAAAGGATGGCCTCCGTTATAGTGAGCACGCACAATCTTGAAGGCAATATTTTGTAGATTTCAAGGTAGATGGCAGCACTGTATCGTCTTAGCAAAAAGTAGGAAACTCGCCTTTTCGTGCATAGCGTCCCATTGTCAGTGCAGCGTAATAAGCGCTAAAGTTTTTAGAATTACTTATGTTTACCTTTTCTAGTATAAAGAAACACACCGCAGAATATTGGCGTCTTGATATTGGGCCGCAGATATGCACAATATATGCTTTTCAATCGACAATGGCACAAGTATGAATGCACAAACCTGAGCAAGATTGGTGGGCACTGTTGATGTGGTTGTACTTGAGCAACTGAGAGACCGAAATGTTTGCTTTGAAGTATCTCAAGAAAGACTATCGCCTTTAAAAAAACAAAAGGTGCTCTCTCGAAATGGTCACCTGGGTGCTAGCCACTGCATTTTGCACGAGAGCTTCACTAAAGCTCTCATGAAGAAAGAAGTCATCTAAAAAAAACATCTTTTCTGCATAGATGAGCTTTCACTTATATTTGTACGTTGCACAAATGGAAGCGCTGGCTTGGGAGCAAAAGTGGCTTGACGGGTGACGGCTACGGCAGTCAGTGACATAAGTCTTACGTGGCTTGACAATGTACTGTCAGCGTCAAATGAAACCCAAACAGTGGCAAGCCTTCGCGATGGTATAGTGCACGCTGTCCACTTATCACTACGAACAGTCATGCATCTATGCGCAAAGCTGCTGAACAGGATGCGTGCACCTGTCAATGGTGATAGCCGGACGGCACGCACTACACTATCGCAAAGGCTTGCCGCTGTTCCGGTTTCATTTGACGCTGATAGTACGTTGGCATCAGTGGTAGGTGTTTTCGAGTGTTGGAAGGCCATAAGCTATGAGGGCTGGTAAGTTACGCTTCTAGCTTCATGTGACGCTAACGTGAAGAAAAGTTATCAAGAGAACTAGACTCGATATTATCGATTCTGTTTCTGTGAAGACAGTCTAGGAGACTGAATGTGTTGCTGCTGTTGTCATGTACTAGACCAAGAGACAACACCCGATCCTGGGCCAGCTGTTCTTATTCTGCCTTCCTTTTCTCTTTCTTCTGTAGTCGCGTACGCGCCCGTGCCTGAGCACTGCACTTGGCATCATTACACTCGACCATGCTGCGAGCATGCAGTCCAGCTAAGCTTGCCCTTCCCTGGCACAGGTCCTTTTCTTGGGAGGTCGAAACATTCAGAGGGCCTAAGCTGTGAACCACTATAGGTAGAACTAATGCCTCTGGTGGGAGGCATTGGCTGCCTCGCATAGGCCGGTCATGGCCACGGTGCGTCTTGCGTTGAAAGTAAGGCGGTGATGTCTCTGGTGGATGCCATTGACTTTGTCGTGCCAGTTTTTGTGTTTTGCTTTGAAAGTCGGGCGATGATGGCTCTAGTGGACGCCATTGAGTGCTTCGCAATGGTCGTCTTCGGCCCGCAGGCCCGGAGCCCCGAGTTGCCAATACCGTCCCTGGCGGGCAGTATTGGCTGTGTCTGTGGGGTCTCTCTCGTGGACGCCACGACTTGCCTTGCGGGGCTGTCAATCACTCTGGTGGGCGACCTTGGCTGTCTCAAGGCGGTCGCAGCAGCAGGCAATTCAGTTGACGCAGTTTGGGGCACTGGTCGTCTTCATTCACGTCGGCGTTCTGGACAGGCTGCGATACTGGTCATCATGCTTTGACGCTGGAGCCTCTGCGCTGCCATCTTTGGCTCCTCTTGTTCTGCGACCACAAGGAATCAAGATGCTCCTTGGTTGTTCTGTACCGCGGCGTCCATACAAGTTAACGCCACCATAGCTGCACATCATGCTGCAGACACCAGGGGCGTACGAAGGCCTCACCTCGCTGCTCTGTGCGAGCTGGTCCCCGGCTGGCCGATTCATCTCCGATTCCTCCTCAACGCACGCTGCCTCCTGGTGATCCGCACGGCATTCAGATGGTCTCAAAGTCATATTGCATTGCTTGGATCCCAAGTAGGGCTGTACGCTGGGAGGCCGGAAGTGCTGATTTTGACTTCGCCTGCTTGCGGCGCATCACTACCGTCGGCCAAGGCGTGGTGGGCAGATACGGATAAAACAGGCATATAGTCCATTAATCTGTATTCGGCAGACATAGATTGATTGAGTGAAACACTCTCACACTCGGCCAATGACTGCCACGTAGTAGCTAGGCAAATCCCCCACGAAAGAGGACGGGGTGGCCAATGGCTGACACAAATTTGGGTCCGGTACCAGCGACGAGTCTGGAAGCTCATGTGGAGAACTGGAGTGCTCAGCTGGAGCCTCGAGATGGAACCCTTCTTGAACTCCATCCTCGGTACCAGTCAGGTTAGACGGGGTGGTGGTGGAGAGGTGGTAAGAATTAGGACCAAAAGCAGCTATGAGCTTGCAGCTCCACTCCGCCCGTGACTAGTGCTTCCAGCCTTCATACCGGTGCCACGCCGCTGCTCCTTCCCGAAGACGGTCTACAGCAAAGGTCTATTTCTGAGATTCCATCCAGGCCTCGCGCATGGCTATCGCGTTGACGGTTGCCACCCAGCAGTCGGCGTCGTTCCGGACCCTGTGGAATTCCGGTAGTTCGCAGACGGCTGGTGATTGTGAGATGGCAGGTGGCAACGCAGAGATCACCGACGCGAAGCAGTCGAGCTGGTGTGAGAGCTCGATGAGAGAAGACCGAAGCTCCCAGCGTTGCTCCAGTGTGCTTGCTTCAAGGTCGTATGAGGCAGCTACATCCAACACTGAGTTAATGTCACACAATGCTGGCTACATTGTAGGAGCTTGCTCGGCGATCAACGCTGTCAGTTTGTTAGTCTCGGCGCGGAGTAGCGGGATGGTATGTCGCAGTTCCACGGCACTGTCGCACGAAGCTTCTGAATTGATTCGGTTCGCATCCGTGAAGTACGTGTTTCTAGTAGTACTCACGGCGGTGACACGCACGTCCAAAGAAGCATGAACAGCATTTCTTGGCGGCTCATATGTTGGAAGAGTACCGGACAGGGAATGCTGGCCGTGGGAAGCTTGAACAGCATTCCCAAAGGACAAGAGCCCGTGCGTATTACGGCCGCAAAGTGGTAGCATAGTGTCCATTGGGTGATGCCCTGGTACCACAGAGGAGGCATAGACACCGTCCACTGATGGTCCGATGGGCAGCTGAAGCAGTGGCCGGGTAGTTGACTCCATCGCCAAAGAAGCGTGAACGGCGTTCCTGGATGGAGAAGCCCGCACTGCCGACGAACCACGAAGACACGTACCGGTGGCTTCCCGCAGAGTTTTCACTTGTCGGCTTGCGCTGACGGCAGAATCCATAGCCAAGGACGGTACCGGTAACGTGTACTGCAGCTGCCGAGGAGGCCTTGACGCCGTCCCCGAACGGTGGCGGCAGTGGCGGCAGGTGAACAGCTGCCGCGGAGGCCTTGACGCCGTCCTCAAGCGGTGCTTATCGCGGCAGTCCTGGATGACGAAGTTAGGACGTAAGACTTATTCCTCGTCGGCTGCGCCATTGTCACGCACTAGACAAAAAACAAGAGACAACACCCGATCCTCGGCCAGCTATTGTTGTTGTTGTTGTTCCTCAGAGTCCTGGCGCAACCTACCACGGGGGATCGGCCATGAAACGGACGGTGCCTCATTTGTGAAGTGGAGTTGTTTTACCACCCTGATTATTTAGATAACGATGTTTAAACAAATAACCAATTGGAAAACGATAGATTCGAAATAAAATAGAGGTAATAAAAACAACGAACAGGCTAATATAATTTGAAATAAAGTGAATTTACGCCTCAGCTTAGCTTTCTATTTTGTTGCCTTTAGAAAGTCGCATACGGCCTCGCAAACATTCCGGTGGCTAAATCCCTTTTCAGTTGCTCCAAAGGAAAGGACCACCTGAAGGGATAAATTTAGAGCCAACCTACAGAGAGGTTCTTCTAACATTCTCTTCCTTTGGTTTCTATATAACCTACATGTTACGAGGAAATGGTGAACGAATTCACTATCGTTGCAGTGGAGGCACAGGGGAGACTGTGCCAGACCAGACCTGTGTAGATAAGAGTTCAGGGGGGGCGGGGACTCGGCATCCCAGTCTCATAATTGATACGTCCGCCATTCTAGAGGAGCACCATTAATTTTTCCGGGGGTATTTAAGATGAGAACAATCAGATGTTGCCAAGCGAGATCTTTAAACTGATCTGGTATGACAAATTTTTCAAAGCGTGTCACAGCAATAAATGCTAGCGTTGGCAATATAGAAATAAGGAGATAATTATTTGATGCCACTGGGAGTGCATGTGCATATTTATTGAGGGTTAATCCTTTATGCCCTGGTATCCACACCAAGCGAATGAGTCGTAAATGTCTTGGGGCAAGGTCGTAAAATACTTTTAAAGCATTGGACATATTAGGCGCAGCTAATGAACTACACACAAACAAGCAGTCTGAAAGAATAATAGCATCTGTTATTGCTTGAGGTGATTTTCGTAACGCTAAGAGAATTGCCAGTAATTCCGCTTGATAAATAGGCGTAAAATCGGGTAAACGAATCGAAAAAGACCAATTCAACACTGAAGATGCAATTCCGACTCCTGCCTTCTCTTCGCGAACTGAAGCAT